ATGAACATTTGATTAGATGTTGCGCTTGCAAACATTAAACCCACGACGCGGTCAGTATGAAGTTTGTTTGCTCATATGATCATTGTTTTTAATGTTGATATTTTGTTTTATTAATATTATCTATTTAATTAATACTATTTAATTTTAGTACTATAAAATGTACAAAAACTATAAAATATACTAGAACCGCATGTTCGTTTGCCCATATTTATCCGTATGCCAATATATATCCGTTTTTCTGAAAATTGTTACAATAAGCCCTTCGCTCACCAGATATGAAAATGTAAATCTTCATTTAATGGAAAAGCTTTCAAATATATCTTTTGTTTGAGCTAATGGAAGTACGCAAATCCATTATATTAAACGAAATGTTTTATTTGCGTACACTGAGTGGACTTACATAGTATCACCAAAATAGATTAAGTATGCAAATCTCCAGCAACACTGCTTAACTCGATGTGACACTTGTCGGCTTCACTGCAGAAATTTTAAACACTGCGTCTATATTATGTTCGTAGCAAGAATAGGTCGGCTCGACCGGGGAAGGGCCACGCTCTCACAAAATACAAGCGTAAAATAGCAGATTAATGCTGATGTGTTTCGTATGGTGAGTGTATAAAACCAGAACCTTTTTCATGGAAACAAGGCATTGCATCTTAATCCTCAGGCTTGCCAACGCATCTGAGTTTTGATTCTTACCTGAGGATAGATGTGGGGTCTATGGGTCACAAAATCCACTTACCATCAGGAGGACCGTCTGGTCGTTTGTCACCCTTATTCTAAAAAAATACATTCCCTTTCTTCCTCTAGGGGAATCACAATAAGCAAGATAACTCAGACGGAATCACTAAGCACGTCACGTCGCTTGCGTGAAACCTTATTCTACAGGAACGCGTGAGTTTTAAGATCTACCCTACCTAGTATTTATCTCCTTTTATTTTCTACAACATACCTAAATTTATTTATTTCTTAAAATCTTTATTGATTATAGAGGGTTTGATCTACTAGATCAAATCACACTTATAGGTACACAATCAAATACATAATCCGTCAATTATAAATTCACGTAAACAATAACAAATGATTATCTGTTCTTAATACCTAACAGTACAAGTTTGTAAAGTTTTCTAACCTTATTTGACAATGGAAGATCTAAGATGCTATTATATAATCCAACACTATTTTTGTCAAAACCTAATTGTTTGCTTCGCTCCGTTCACATTCCATCATAATTTGAATAATATCTTCCACAACTCCACATTTGTCACAATTTGGTGAATTCACTTTTTTCATTACAAACGCTATACGTCCGGAACAAAGCCTCAATGCTGTAATAATTTCTTACCTTCCCATATTGCATCCTTCAAACCAAAGGAAGCGGGAAAGATGCGGTTGTATCGTCTTGTACCAAATACCTTTTGCCAGTGACCTTTCATCAAAGTATTCGGACCACTTTTCTGTTACAGTTTTCTCGAACTTTAGATAAGAGTTCAGAGAAATAAGGTACACAGTCGAAATTCTCCCCATCACCTATCGCCTCTTTAGCAAGAACGTCTACCGTCTCATTTTCCTCTAAGCCAGTATGGGAAGACACCCATTGTAAGACAATGGAAAACCGCGAGAGTCAATGAAGTACATCTCTTTAAATATAAGGGCACTGCGAGAATCTGTTAATATCAATAATTTATCATATTTAAGTGACTTGACATAAGATAAGGCTTCTGCAATTTTAATGAGTTCCGCAGGCAGAACTGAAATTTACTTTCCTAAGCAGAGCTTAACATATTCTTTGGTTTGTATGTCCAATGGTCGCTACACCCGGTCATTGATCATTCCAACTGATCAGTTCAAACTAAAACTGTTGATATTTATTAAAATATTGGATTTTCCATATATAGTTAAATAAACTTATATATAAAACTCCGATATTGATATATTTATAATTACCGATATATCGAAAATGGAATATTTTAAAAAATATCAACAGTTTTAGTTTGAACCGATCAGTCGAACTGACCGTGTGTAGCATCCATAATAATGCAGCATCCGTTGCTTCTTTATCCTTGGAGCCATCAGTTATATATTTTATAATAATTTGTAAAGTTTTCAGTTAAATGTTTATGACATAAAATTCGTACGTAATGGGGATTGTATTTATGTTTAGGCGCATTTACAAATTTTATTTGAGTGATTACAGAATCGAATAAATCCAACTTGCTAATCCACGAATTAAGTGAAAACATTTATTTCTAAGTGAGGGCTTGAAACGTACGAGTTTCTTTAAATAATCTATGGATTTTGACTAGTAGTGGGGGTTTTCTACGTCGCCAATAAAAGCTTTCTTTAAGTTCACCAAGAATACATAGTAAATTTGTTACAATATTTTCATCAAAAGACCTTCACTTTAACCAAAATTTACCAGCTAAATATCTTCTCCGAATAAATAATGGCTGTAAAAGCAGTTCCAATTCTATTACATGGATAGGAGTGCTCTTGACAAACCCACCGATTAACCGCATACACTGATTTTGTATCACATCTAGCTTTATTAAATGTGTTTTATGGCTATTATCAAATAAAAAGCTGGCATAATCTAATCTACTACGTATAATAGCTACTAATAAGCGATGTAACTGAACTGGGTGTACTCCCCAACCTGGCCCTATTAAAACTTTTATAGTATTTACAAACTTAAGGGCTTTCTCTTTTATTTCCTTTATGTGCTTGGCCCATCGAAGATATCGATCTAACCGTAATCATAAATATTTCATGCTTTCAACGATTACAAGCCTTCTTTTGTTAACCGTTACATTTATGCGTTCTCTTACGCGTCCATACTTAAATATGCATACTTTACTTTTCGATGAAGATATTTTTAGTCCTAAGGTAAAAAATAAACTATTAAGAGTATTCAGTGCAAACTGTAAATCCATAACTCCGTTACTGATAATATCGCAATTTTTATATATAACAAAATCATCCGCATATTGAGAGATATAAACGTTTTTGACGCTTTTACACATATTAATAGTAGCTAAATTAAACAAAAGAGGAGATAATGGATCTCCTTGGCCTAGGCCTTGACTCCTAAATATATTGATAAATACATTATCCACATACATTTTGAGATGTCGTTCATTTACGAAACGATTAAGATATTGACAAATTTTTGTTCCTACATTAAGTTGAGCTAAGGTGTACAGTAATGCATTTATGTCAACATTATTATACGCATTGTCTAAATCTAAGAAGCATCCTATTGTGAACTGATTCTCTGAAAACCCTATTTGTATCCTTGATACCAAACTACTAAGACTATCTAAACAGGAATGGCCTCTCCTAAAACCGAACGTATTAGAAGAAAAGACTTTTTTTTTCAGAAACCACTCTAGTCTTTCTTTAATAATTGAATGAAAGATTTTGCATAAGCAAGACATAAGTTATATTGGACGCAAGGACGATACATCATTAATGTCTCTTCCAGGCTTTGGAATTGCTATAATACCAATAGCTCGCAATTGTGATGGTAAGTAACAGTTTTCAAGAAAAGTATTATACAGCTTGATTAAAATGCATTTGACCTTAAATGGAAGGTATTGCAACATTGAATATGTTATGCCATCGTATCCAGGAGATGTATACTTTAATTTAATACATGTACAAAGCACCTGAATCGATACTTCTTCCTCTAGTAACATGTTACTAGAACTAAAACTAGCATGTTCCGGTGAAGCAAAATCTGCCGTTAGACTGCGAAGAAGTATTTCCACTTTTTCGTTATCTATATTGTGGGTATTATGTGACATAAAACCTTTCACCCATCTCATCCTTTTCCACATATCCTTAATGGTTATTTTCCATTTACCGAAATACAAAACCTCTGCCAATTACGTAATTTAGCTTGAAGAATTAACCTCTATGTGTCTATTTTTTTTCTTGGAGTACATAAATTCTGACCTGTTGAGTTGCGTCTAAACCTGGCCAATGCTTGTCTACGAATAGCCACCGACTTTGATAATTCTACGTCCCAGTAAGACTTAGGTACAAATTTAGACTCTGGGTTCTGATTTCTTTTTATAAAAGGGATATGAATATCAACTGCTAAATTTAAATATTCTATAAATATATTGTAACATTTTTGAAGGTCGATTGTATGTATTGGGAATTGATCGAAAAGTTTTTCAAGAGTACTCTTGTATCCGTTTTGTTTGTTTTTTAACTCTAACCGCTTTTGACACAAACCTGATATTTTAATCATAAGATGATCACTACCTAAAGTGTTCGAATTACCCTCCAATTAAATTTATGGACGATATCTGACGTATTGAGCAATATATCAGGAGATGACGCTTGTAAGACTCCATTCACGAATCTAATCCAAGTGCTTTCTTCATTATTTAATATAGCAAAGTTAGTACCTAAAAGTGCGTCAAATATTTGTGAACCCTGTTATAAGTCTTGTATGACCAGCTTGAGTGATGAACGTTGAAGTCCAAATGATTACGGTTTTACAACTAAATGTAGAAAATAATTCATCCCAATTTCCTTGGCGAGTTCACACTGACAATGGACAGTAGATAGAAACGATATTCTCCAAATCCTGATAGTTAATATTTTTTTTAAAAATATAAATAGCTTCTATGCCATTATTAGTTATTACTTAAGAATCATCTCTATCATTACGGTAAATATTGTAATCTTAGATTTTAATATAAGTTTCTGAGTTCAACCAAGTTTCGCTTAAGGCTACGATATGTATTATTTCCAGAGTTAATATAGGCTCTAAGGGCATTAGTTTAGGCTTAACACTTTGATCGTTCCACTGTAAGATATTAAGATTTACTATTTTACAGTTAAGGTTATTATCCATTAAATAAGTTTAAAACGGTTTTCAACTTTGGCCATTCCGAGATATTATAACCACTCAATACATAACTTTATCACTTTGTAAACTTTCTCTTGAAAACTAAAATAATTAAAAAATATTACCTGTTTCGACCTCATAAGTAGCTCACCAGAAGATTCGTTGTTATTTGCTTCAGTATAGCTAGTACACTAAGTTCAAATCTATTACTTCGTAATGACGTGTCATGCTCTGTATTGCTTTTCTCCTTTTTTGTTTGGCGTTGGCAGGACGACGATACATTACTTTCACTTTGGCTAATATTATCTTCGTCATGTATTTTGCCATTGGCCGTTACTTCTGTAAAAGTAGGAACATTTTGGATTGTAGCCGCTTCCCTTTTCGGTGAGTTATAATTACACATCTCCTGCTGGATGTTATCTTGTTCTATAAGTATTAGGTCCATTTTTCTACGTTGTGTTGGCACAACATAGATTGTTAAAGCCCTTCTCTATGTGCTATTAAACTCGGCCATAAGTTCTCGCAACTTTCTTTCTTTAAAAGGTAAGCAGGTAAAGTCCTTGCTAAAGTCATGTCACTACCAGAACAATTGACACATTCGAATGTTTTAGGGTCACAATTCTCGTGTTCTCCCTCACGCTTTGGACATATTGTTTTCTTGAATGGACAGAACTTGCGAATGTGACCCTCCCCAACATTGAGCATTGTATAAAAGCTTTCGTATCAAAAATGTATACGTATGAATGTAGGTACCCTTTGAAACAAGGCCGTATGGTTTCACTTGGACACCACTCTTCTTGTTTCGTGTAACTTCGTCGCTTAAGCCTTTTAACGGATATTAATTCTGTAGAATCTGGGCGAGATATATTATTCATTATTTCTTTTTCAGAAATTTCTAACTCCACGTCTCCTATGATTCTGTAAGAGTAGTTAACCTCTATAGCCCTTTGAATTCTCCATCCCATAGAAATGAATGTCGCACAGGTACTTAACTTTTTAACATTTTCTTCATTCAAAAATTGCAAACTTACTTTAAAAGGGTTTAAGTATTTAACTAAAATCATATAAGTAATTCCATTTTCTTTGAATAACTGTGCCAAAGGAAATTGCTAGGGCAGTTTTTCACTGCATGTAATATATACCTCGATATCTGCTTCTTTACTTAAGTTCTCATCCTCGTGCAGTCGTTTCTTCTTCCCCTTTCCTTTCACAATCCTCCACTCCTCATCACTCACCACTGTTTCTCTGATTCTTGTAATAATCTTAGGCGTATTTGTACCAATACTATCCCGCTCTTCCACTTCTAATTCTGCAATATTGTCTTTGATATTTATAATGCTATTGTTAAATTCTTCATTTTCGTCCGTCATTTTTGTTTATGCGTAATCGAAATATTTGGTAGAATATTACAAAAAGCTCACGTTTTCTTATAACGTTTCACCGCCGAGTCTGCATGTGAGCAATAAAATAAAAGAATATTGATATGCCGTAATGAAGTTTCATTTCGTACGTGTGTACACAATTACAACAAAGTTCCAGAAAATATACAAGATCTCTATTACCAAGTATAAATATTTTATTAAACAGAAACTCTATAAAAAGGGTAATTATAATGTAAATGAATACATGGTTGATTATAATCCCCGGAAATGAGGTGGTCGTTTCCAAGCTGTTTCAATAAAGAAAAAATTTGTTGGTATAATTTACTTTAAAAAGTCCTGCTGGGTTTCTTGCTGGTTCTCCCTGGACAAAGGTTTAATAAGCTTGAAGGAATCACTTGATAAAAGAATGTTGTCACCAGAACATTAAAAGTGGTAAAATTAAAAATTTTGTACAACTGACCTCAATATAAATAAAATGAGAACATCATCAATGTATTCGAATTCATTTAAATAGATATTATTAAGTATAATTAAAAAACTATTGGTCAGGTCTCGAGTCAAATAATCAAGTACCAGTTTTCAAATAAAAAAAAATCATTGGAATCGGTTCACCCAGAAAAAAAGAAGAGATAACACACATAACAAATACAGTCGAATTGAGTACCTCCTCCTTATTGAACTCGTTTAAAAACAGGTACATAATTAAAGATGTCAGCAAGAAATTTAATGAAATGAAATAAAATATGAAATGAAATATTTATTTGCGTTTGGTTAGGGGGGTTATCAGCCCTTATTAATGGCATGCAAATCTTACAACTTAGGTACATACAACACAACTATAAAATAACGACATAATCCTATACCTTTAAACAAGCAATTCTTTTATATATATATATATATATATATATATATATATATATATATATATATATATATATATATATATATATATATATTCGGAATCTCGGAAACGGCTCCAACGATTTTCATAAAATTTAGTGTCCAGGGAGTTTCGGGGGGCAATAAATCGATCTAGCTAGGATTTATTTTTAGAAAATGTCTTTTTTGTCCGCGTTTTCAAGCAATGAAAAACTGCTACAATATGAGAAGGTAAATTTTAACAATGTGTTAAAGATCTAAGGCATATCATCGCAAAATCGTAACGCCTTGGTTCGCGTGTAGTCTTCGGTCTGATTTTTTTCCTTTTTTTCAAGTTCCCTTCTTTTGTGAGAAAATCTATTAATTCGAGCCCTTTTTTGTATTTTTAAAATACGAAAATTTTAAATAAAACTAATTGCACTATCTTATTGACATCGTAGAATAACCAGTTCAGTTTTTTCTACGATGTCAATAAGATAAAAAAATATTATTCATCAGTATGTAATTTGTATCTAAATGTAATTTTAAAAAAAACGAGCGAAGCTCGGTCATCCGGGTACTAATATTTATGAGTAAAATGTCTAAAATAACAAAATGTCAACAACTAATCTATAAATAGGTAATAGGTACTTAATAAATATTTCACCATTGGTCCAGTAAATTTATATCAGTCTAGTTGCTATTTCGTATCATAGTTTAAATATTCCTCTTCGATACGTAATAGCAAATTAAGGATGCAGTATCAAAAACAAAACCATTTGTCGTCGCATCCGTCTAGAACGTCTAGAACCTACGACAGTAGCCACGCACTCTGACCACCAAGTCCAACGATCATAGTCTACCTCCGATCATATTACATTTTGCACTGGAGAGCCTCTAGAGTTGTAGCATTATAATATACCCTATGCCGTTGCATGTTATATTCTTCATGTTATATTATATGCGTTATAGTCGTGAACAAAAATATAGCCAGATCAAAATAATTTTGATAAAATATGAAACACAATGAAACTTTAAACATTTAATAAAAATGTCTTACATAAAGACGGTTCTCACGATCATTTTGGAAACTCTTTTCACAAAACGCGGTGAGGCCAGGCGATGACGTCAATAGCAACGTCGATTGTTCGGCAACCCAGGGAGTCGTATTGCGTAGTCACCGCGAAGTCACGTTGCGTTGCCTCGTGAAGGCCCGTTCCAACATATAACGTGCGTATAATATGCGTACCGATGATGCAGCGGTGCGTTATAAATGAATGCATTGTCAGATATCAAAATTAAAATTAAAAACTATATTGCGTTTATACAATAAAATGTGTTTTATATTCAACAAAATTCTCAAAAAAGTTATGATAACAAACACTTTAAACATAATAATTAAAGTGTGAATCCTTAATATATTTTAGTGTAGTAGGATGTGACTCGAGTATAAGTTCTCCTTTCGAGCGTAGAACAACGAGTATATATATATATATATATATATATATATATAATATATATATATATATATATATATATATATGTATAAAAATTGGATACAGTACCGTGAGCTTGAAATTTGATATTTTTTCTTTAACGAATATAGGAGTACCGCTCAAATATCAGTATAATAAGTCAGTTAGATTTATATTTTACAGATGTAAACAACCAATCATATGTCATATCAGTTGAAATCATATAGCGAGGAAAAAATAATGATTGTAAAATAACATAAATAACACTTAATCCTAATAATATTAACCTAATAATAGTACCCGGGCCACAGAGCTTTACTGCAAGTATAAGAAAAACAATTTTAAGGAAATTCTGCCTAAAAAAACTTGCAAAGTAAAACATCATAAAGAGTTGATGCAAACAAAGGAGAAGCCATGGAAAACTTCAATAGCGCTACAACCAAATATAGGTCATAAAATTACTTTCTTTTTTTTAAATACGCCTGATATTTTTCCTACTTTTATAGACCACCGGAATTCTGTCATCAGAATAAAAAGTTTTTTTTTCTTTTCAATGATTTTATTTCAAGATCTCGTGTAAAATGTTGCCCTTTTAAATAGCAAAAATTGCGGAAAACATCGAAAAATTTATCGACTTCCTCCAAAGTAAACATCATTCATTAACGTGGTTAAGATGTATTGCAATGAATTTGTATCTTTTCATCATAGGTAATAATTAAACTTACATAAGTTCATTCTTTCTCATCTGCATTTTATTTTACGTATTTTTAAGGATCACGTATTATTAAATTATTATTCGAAGTATTATGCTCCGATTATTTTAATATTTTTTATTTGACTAGTTTTTTTTAGGATATTACTTGTTTTATTAAAACCATATTATTGAGTCTGCTTTCGGTGTTCAGCAGGGTGATCCATTAGGTTATTTTAAATTTGAAATCTAAGCTGAATGTCTGGTACCTGCACGACGGTATACTGAGAGGTAAAGCAGAAGACGTCCTCAGTGATCTTACTTATATTTTCCAAAAATTTAAAAATATTGGTCTGAAACAAAATACCAATAAATGAGAAATATTTATTTCCAATAATTTATCTGATTCAAACAGAAATACTTTAACTCAAAATTTCAATCATATTTCTCCAGGAATAAAAACCCTCAATGCGGAATCCCTATACCTGCTCGGTGCTCCATTATTTTTCGATAGTATTAAAACCTATTTTAAAAACAAAATTTGATCAATTTTTAAATCACGTTGGTAAATTATATATCTTAAACCCCCTTATTGCCCTTACTACTTCAAAAGATTGTCTCCTTGTACCTAAATTAACATACGCTCAAGTCCAGCCTGGAAATGTTCGTATATAATATTTTAAAAGATATTGATAATAATCTCAAAATAGCTTTAGAAAAAATTCTAAATTTGATATCAAATACAACAACCTGGAATCAAGCTACTTTACCTATAACATTTGGTAGTATTGGTGTAAGAAATCTTTCCAGCGTCGCATTGCCTGCTTTCCTTGCTTTCGTGCAAAGTGTCAATGACTTATGTACCATAATTTTAAATAATAAAGTAGACCTGTGCTTTGCTGCGGAGGCAAGGCAAAAACATGGCTAAAGCTTTGGCCCCGCGAAAATGTTCCACTGGAAGATAACCAACAAAAACAATGGGACATTCCGTTGGTACAGTGTCCAGAAAGATTTATTTCACAATCTCCACAGGGACCAAGATCAGGCTCGCCTTCTAGCTGTTTCGACAAAGAAGAACGATATAATTTGTCAATTGCCAAACAAAAATATTTTTTAATACAGCTAATATTGTTGAGTAGTGAATAAATTAATACCGTTACCATTACAGCTTATTAAAGTACACTGCTGAACATAGGCCTCCCCCGTAAATTGCCTCATAGGGAAGATGTCTGAAATAGTTGCCATGCTTGGTAAGTGAGACGGTTTTTTTTAAATTTTAGTCACTATTATCAAGACGCTGCTGCCCATCCCCCGATTTGTTTCCCTCTGTCTCTTCTTACGATACCTACAGGATGATATGGGCTAATGGATATTCTTAAACCGCCACTATACGGTAATGTTTGTTCATCTCTGATTGAATATTATTATCCCTAAATTTACACCAGATTTTAAATTATAAAGTTATAAACCTTAGACAAAAAACGAAATTGCAGTCTTGATCAGATATGATAGCATAGAAGCAACATAATAGATAGTTCTCCAAATGCATGCGTTAAGACTTAAACAACTTCAATACAGCTTGTTTTGAAGAAGCGATTAAGCGAAACCAAAGTTCGAAAGTATTTCTGAAAGATCTGTCTGCCGGAAATAAATAGCAGTTGAAGTTTAAAGATCGGTTGTGACAGCGTCATTTCTGGGACACCTGAGATTTCAGGTCAAATTAAGTGTTTCTACGGACATATCATCGTTTGAGCCGCACCCAAGTGTGAGAAACGATCCAGGACCAAGTCCCATCCAATACTATTTCGATTCTCTAGTATACATACGAGTACGGTAATCTATGATCTCGATGATATCCCAGATCATTCTGAGCGAAGTGTTTTCTTTTTCTTTGGGGGAAGCCTATGTTTATTAGGGGACTTGTGATGGGATTGTGATGAATTCGATAGTAAAATAAATCTTTA